ACTGCTTGTGAATTCCAACTATTGAGGAAGGTCTCACAAGTTTTGCAACAGGCACTAGATACTGTGCAAAACAATTAATATGTGTGTCTTGATTCACCCTGAAATCTCAATCAGTTCCCCCCTTCTCTCCTCTCATCTCCCATCTCTCCAATTTGTATGATGGCTATCAAATACTTACTGGAGACAAAAATATATTTCACTCTGCTTTGCCTGGGATCTTTGTGCAGTCAAGTCAACTTCTTTTCAAAATTCAGGTCTCTATTCAGCCTAACAGCAGCCTCCACCATCAAGGCAGATCCAAACTGCTTTATCTGAATTTTCACTCATTTCTTGCCCAATAAATTATTCTAAATCACACTTTCAAAGAAAGATAACAAAGTACATCCCTGCAGGCTCCTTCGGATTCACACAAATGAGAGAGAGAGAGAGAGAGAGAGAGAGAGAGAGAGAGAGAGAGAAAGTAATTTGACCCCACACTTACTTGGATGGTAGAGAATGTCATTTATTCAGAGACCTTGCATAAGTCATTTAACCACCCTCTGCCTCCATTTGTTTTGTTGGTAAAATAAAGAGACTAGACTAGAAATCTTTTCTAGGTCTGTAATTTCATAATTCCACTAGACCATTTCCATAGTAACAAAGTCTGCAGATTCTAAACTAGATTTTACAGCTTACCTGATTGAACTTTTATTTCTGGAAAAAGAGGAGCCTCTTAATCTCAAGAATGAAAAACAAAATTAACATATAATAGATAATCTGATCCTTATCAAGGAAACTGCTAAAAATCATGCCTCACTCTATTTTGACAATGTCAAGATTAATGTTATCAAAAAATAATTTTCTGCAAAGCATTTGTTTTGTCTCACTGCTTTGCAAAAAGGCCTTTACCCTGGTTTTGCCTGCTGCTCCCCCTTTTTCTGTTCTCTTTTTAAAATGGTCTGAAGGCAAAAGAGAATGAGCATGGAACAAATCCCGGACCAATAAAGCAGTGACTTTGAAAAGGAAATTGCCCTGTTTAAGTGATAGATTCCTTTTCAGCCATCATGACCCAAGTTATGAGGGAGACCAGGGACTCGGGTCCTGCCCTTATAGACTGAGCAGCTGCAAAGCAGCACTGGGAGCTCTCTAAGGACTCTCTATGAAGGGCCAAAGGCTGCCCACCCACTCACCCCAGCAGGCTGCACACTGCAGCCCTACAGGACCAGGCTCTGAGCAGGAATGTGTGTGTGTATCGCATGTCTCCCCAAGAGTCACTTTCAACCAGCCTGGATCACCCCTCCTTCTGACACCTACCCCAGTCAAGACCTATTTGAGTTTACCAGGTTTGTGCTACTCATTATTTCTCATCCTTTCATGTTTGCTTTTTTCCTTCCCAGGGACGGCAAGACCCATGAACACAAAAAGCAACAGCTATTTAGCCACCCTTCCATTAGAGATCCACAGGAAGTCCCTATGAAGATGATGAGAACAGTGAAAGGGAAGAACAACAGAGTTTTAGATTTTTTTTCTGAAAAGAAGAGATGGGATGTTTGAACAACACTTCTCTCTGATCCTGAGGCAGCATTTTCTAGATGAAAAGCCGAGATCTGGGACAAAGTGAGAATACTTAGCTGCTGTTGTCCCCAATTTATCAGAGGATGCTCTGCTATTAAGACCCAAAGCAACTGTATGAATTGTTCTCTCCTAGACTTGCTAAGAAACAGCTTCAAATCCAAAATATCTTAAATCCATATCCTTAAAAAGATGAAGACTCAGAGCAGTGAAGAGCCCCCTCCCCAGTTTTCTAGGGTGACGTCAGACCACTTCTTGTTCTCATGAAACCAGATGCTTGTTTCTTGCCTACCTATGTTCAAGGAAGTCACTTCAGAAAGAACATGCTCTGTATTCATGAGCAAGTGGTGATTCTGGATACGTGTTTCAAATTCTAAACTAAATTTTACAGCTTCCTTTATAATACTGTGGGTGATAATCACTAATATTCCAAAAGGAATTTAATGTTTTAGAAGACTCTTAGTCCTAGAATCTTTCAAAGTATAGCGAACTTAACTCTCGCTTTAGAAAAGAACCATAAAGTGATTACAACCATTGAAAAAATAAAGCTAATTGATGAATTTAAGACCATTTCAAAGCCATGAACTCTTGGGCTCTACCCCACAAGAGATGCTGATTTAATTGCCTTGGATAAATCTGGGTCTTTCCTGTAGTCTCCTCGGAGTTCCATGGGCCATGTGAAGATCGGGCTCCAGCACATGACTGCCTCCTGTGTACTTCTGTTACTGTATTTATCATTTACACTGTAGCATGATTACTTGTATGCATCGCTTCCTTAGGAAGGACCTGGAATTGTGCTATGAGTACTGTGGTAGATACAGAGCTATTAAGCCTCAAATGCCTGCCATTCACACAGTTCCTGAGGGATGTTTCCTCAACAAAGTGCGCCATACTGTATACCTTATGACACCGATAATCTAGACACTGATGATTGCCCAGAAATAGGCACCTGACCTCAGTCCTGCCCACCTATAGGGTGACCAGCCACCTATGAGCAGGCCCAATACAAAAGCTCAGTCAGACTCCAGCACTTGATGAGTGCCCAGCTGAGCCAATTAGATCCTTTCACTAAAGGAGTTTAAATGTGAGATCAACAGAGAGCTGAGCAGTTGGTAGCAGGAGCAGAAGCCAAAGTATGCCAGGAGAAAAACAGGGAGCAAGAGGAGCTGAATCACCTTGGCGGCTAAGCCTCTTAGTAGGGACCAGCAGGTGCCTGCTGCTGAGGGGGCAGCAAGATAACCCAGTCCCACAGCCGCATCCTGAATGACCTTCCAGTTCCTGAATTTCAATCCAGTTTTCGTGAGTCCTGGCTGGGTGGCCTTTCCGGAAGGCTTTTCAGAGACACGTGGCTGAGTGGTAGAGATTCCGGTCAGCCTTCCTTCCACAGTAAACTTCCATTCCTCAGGGTTAACTAGGTCATATCTGGTCCTTGAAACCCCAAAAGCCCAATCACCACAATTCCCAAGGTCTACCACATTGCTTAGCGTACAGCAAGTACTAACTAACTGCAGGTTCTTGGACAGCCTGACCATCCCTGGTAAAAAGCCTTGTTAAAATAAAATCATTTATGATTTTTAAAAAACTGATTGAGGTCATTTTCAGATTCCAAAAATAATGCTATAATGCAAAAAAAGTATATTCAGCTCATTCCATCTTCCTATTTCCAAGTTAATATACATTGTTACCATAAACCTACCAAAGAAGGGAATGTCACATTCCACAGAACTGCAAAGAGCATTTTGATTTCAGGTAAAGTATGTTTGGATGACTTGGCTTTCTCTTCACTTAATGTTAATCACAGTAATGTTAGTAAGAACAATTTTCCACCCACACTAACTTCACTGACAACCCTCCAAGTAGCTGATCTTTGACTTTTAAGAAGTTTAATAATATGCGATCTTCCCCTACTCTGCCACACACATTCCCCCTGTCTATTGTCTGTATCAGCTACTTGAAGAACACATACTCCCCAACAACTGGATGAGTCATCAGATAAGAGGTACATGGAACTGAGCCTGTTTGTGCTTTCCCTGTCCCCAGCTAATAAAATAAAAGAGGTCCCACTGAATTCTGGTCCACTGGCTTCCAGAAAATAGGTTTCTGCTTAGCAAAGGCATACCTTATTCAGTGCATGATTTTAAAAGTAGAGCTAATTCCACACCCCATGTGAATGGAACGTATTTAGGGTTACAGCCTTGCACAGGGTGTGTAAGGACTTGCCCTCCTTGTGTCCTCTACAAAGGAAGGTTCCTGGCTGCTCTTGGTGGTGAGCTAACCAACAGAAGGAATGCTGAAAAGGTCTCACCTCTCCCACTCACACAGTCTGAAAGGGGACTGGGTCCTTGCCGGCTGGAAACTCAGTACCCAACCAGCGCTTGCTCAGATTTCCCACCTGCATTTTTGAAAATCTGAATAAAGTAGGTTTCCCCCAACCTCCCCTGACCTCTCTTTGATAAAGTGATCTTATGCCTCTGGAACCGGGCTTTTGAATGTATGTGCCTACCCTACGTCTGGTGTTGTGTTACAACAGCATGAAAATGAAGCCCAGGGCCGAGGAGCCGGCCAGCCTCAGAAGCCTTCTTCAGTGCCTGCCATGTAATACACGATATGCAAAGCCTCTGACTTCAGCCAACAGATATTTGGAGACCGTGTTGGCCCTAGCATGGGGACTAAACTAATGTGTGTTTAGGTCAGAAAGCGAATCAGAAAAGCCACTGGAGGGCACGTCACGGAGTGAGAGCCTTATAAATGCATCCCCATTCGCAGCGGCCCCTGGCAAACACTCGGCTTCCCTCCCTGGGCGGCTCCACATCCCTCCTTCGTGCTCGGAGAACTCCAGCTGATAGCTCCTCTTCTCCCGCTGACTTCTGCCCAGCAGAAAAGCGTGAGGGCGAGACACCCGAGGAGAGGAAGGAACGCCTTCGACAGGCGCGCGGAAAGCCCAGTGTCGCCCTGCACCAGGCAGAGCGCCCTCCCTCCCGGCTCAGGGCGCAGAGACGAAGCCCGGCGCGGGCGCAGCAGCCAAGTTCGGATTGCTCCCTTTGGTCGATCTGAGCGGAGCTCCGCACATTCCTCCGGATCTATCCTGAGAGAAGGCGCAAGCCCGGCTGCTTCTTCACAGGCTCAGCGCTCTCCCTCCACCCCGGAGAGGGGTGCCCGGCGTCGCCCACTTGCACCCTGCACCCCCACCTCCGGAGCTCGGCGCCTACTAGCTGCTCTCCTATCCCTCCCCCACCTCCCCGCCGCCGCAGAATCTCGACCCCTCCCCTGCCCGGGCCCCGCGCCTCCCCTCCCCCACCCCGGCCCCCTGGCCCCGGGCTCTCGACGACCAGCCTGCGCTCCTGGCGCCCTCATGTCTTCAAGGGACAGCCCGCGCGGGTTGACGTGGTATCTCGTTCGGATCTCCCGGCAAGACCTCAGCTCCCGCGGCAGCAGCATCAGACAGGCCAATCTCCCAGCCGCTGCGCCCCAAGGAGGCGCGGAGAGGCGCGGCCGCCGCTGAGCAGCCCGCTACGCCGGGGGCCGGCGCAGCCTCAGCCAAGAGCGCAGAGCGCCCAGCCCTGTCACCCCTTGCTCCAGGCAGGGGCGCCTGCTCGGACTTCGGCTGCTGGGGGTGCGGGGGCTCGGCGGGGAACGCGTCGGCAGCCCTCGCCCTGCTCGTGGCATTGGCGGCTGGAGCCTTGGCCGCCTCCTGTGTGCCCTCGCCACCCCGCGCGACCCCAGGATTTCGAACTCTTGTCCCTGACCTGCTGGGCGGAGCTCCGCGCTCCTGCCCTCGGCCCGGATGGGTCTCCTGGTTGGGACTCGGGCCACCTGGAGTTAATGTCCAACTGGGGGTCTACCGAGACGGGATCCGAGGTAAGTGAGGACGCGGCCCGGCAGGCAAGGGGGGCTGCTGGGCGACTGAGGCAGAAGGGCGCGGCTGGACGCCCTGAGCGGGTGGTGAGAGTGAGAAGCAGAAGATGAGAGAGGGAGGAGAAAGAAGTTGAACGGGAAAGGCTGGCCTGGCGTGGAGGAACAGGTTGCCCTTTTCCACGTAGGAAAAGATATGCGGAGCCCCTGACGTCCCTTGGCAGCACTAGCTGAGAGACAGTTTTCTTCTCCATCGCGGCAGGGCGCCCCTCTGCCAGATACCCACACGCCGTGGGGCTTGGCTCATCTTCGAACCCAGCAGAGTGTGTTTCCGGACGTGCAGCTGCAGAGGTGTCAACACAGCCATGAGTGTAACTTACTATTGAGCTTGTTTTGGTCTATTCCGAGGAAAAGCTCAGGCTGGGGAGAGACTGCTGCAAAGGTGCTGAGAATCTAAAAATAGCGGGCTCCTCTCCTCCAGGCGAGGTCCGGCGAAGCTGCCTCCCTTGCCCCATTGCAGCCCGTTTGCTTGCTCTTTCCCAGGGCCCCCCTCCTGTCCAGGTCACGAGTAGGGCTCCTTGGACCGTCCAGGCCTCTGGTTTGGTCTCTAACAGATTCTTGACTTCTCGAGGTCGGGGCAAAGCCACGGAGGTCATACTTCCCTTCTTTCTCCTGCACTATCTGCCTCCTTCCCCATAACCTCCAACACTAGTTTGCACCACCTCGGGGCTCACTCGGTAGCTGGGTTTCCAGCCCCACTCAGAGAAAAGGAGCCCTTATTCCGGCGGGAGCGGACTTTCGCCGAGTCCCCCAGCCTCATGGCGCCGCGCTACTTTTGCCGGTGGCAGAATCCACCTCCAGAGCCGCGGGGAACGCCTGGGGAGGGCAGCGCGGCCCCAGACACGCCACGCTTGAGCTCGAGGGTGGAGACGAACAACTTTCGGCCCCAGCAGTGAGTAGGTTAGAGCGCGCCTCCGACTCTTCCTCCGTATTTTGAATATTTACTTAAGTGTGTCGGGAAAGAGATGCAACTTCTCAACAGCCCACCCCCCGCGCGCACCCCTTCTACCAAGCTCTCAGAGTGGCATCCGCTGGCTTCCCTCCTTGCTCCAGCCCTCCCTGTTTCATTGCGCCTCCGCTTTGATGGTGGAAGTGTCGCCTATTCAACAAGTGACAAAAGTCCAGCGGCCAGGAAACACCCCTCCGCCCCCGTTCTAGCAGGAGATTCCAGCATTCCGGGTCCTGGACCCTCTAACAGACAGACCCCTCCCCTCAGTGCTCGCCAGAAGCCCCTAAGCCTTCTCCCTAGCGTCCTCTTGGGTCGGGCAGCCATGAGGGATAAGGAGGGGGTAAGTTCTCCCTCCCTCAAGAGCCCTAGGCACAGCGAAACAGTAAAGCAATAGACCTTTCAGTAATTTCTGCTCCCAACCCCAAAGAAAACTCGAGTTCAGAGTGAACCTCGCCCCCACCTCCTCCGTCTCTGCCGGAGACCTGAATCTCGAAGACAAAACCCAAACAAACTTCCCCAGCTGCCCGCGCGGGAGGGTACGGGGGGCACTGGGTGCGGGAGGGCGTGCCACCCGCAGAGAAAGGGGTGCCTAAGAGGAGGGTGCCAACCCCCTCCCCCACCCCCACTCCCGGTGCAGTGGGAAGAGGAATGCTCGGGATGGAGACTGGAAAGGTAGGAGCTTAAAAAGCAAGGATGCCGCTAAGGACATTCACAGGTTACCCGGCTAACTCTCCGATTTAGGGAGGATTGTAGAGGGAGTGGTTGTTCTCCGGGTTTGTACTTAAAATGACCACACAGCCTCCCCGCCACTGGAACGCTACAGGACTCGGGCGGTTTCTGGTGCCCCCTGGTGCCGGGAACTCAGAATCGACGCGCGGCGCCTAGGGCAGACCTCTGATTTTCCTGGGCTTCCCTTCTGCCCGAGGCCTGGGGACCCACACCGGGCAGCGCCTGAGGCGCTTCCTTTTGCCCGTCAGTCTTACACCCAGAGGGGGAGCTGCCTGCCCTGCAAGGCAGAGAAAGCGGGGTCACCTGGTGCAGCCGACTCCGGGAGCAAAGCTTGGTTCGCGCACTTGGTAGTACATTAACCGTTTTGCGCGTGTCGTAAAGGCCGAAGGTCATGCGGAAAACCTCTGGCAAAAGTAGATGTGTTTTAGGAGGGCGACATAGACTAACGGGGCAGCCTCGAGTTGCAGCCCAGACTGACTCAGGAAGGTGTCCTAGGAAACCGTGGTGCGCACAGAGTCCCAGGACTGCTGCATGCAAACACGGGGAACTAAAGAGCCGCAGGAACCCCAGCTGGGCCGGCGTCACGCAGAAAGAAAATCTTGCCCGCCTTGTCCCAGGGAAAGAAGGAAGCCCACTCGGGGTGCTTGCAGCCCCCAGCCTACGGCGGGGACGGGAGCCTCCTCTGGCGAGGCGGAGAGTGTTCCACTGTTTCCTCTCATACTAGCTTCGCCACACTTCTAATCGAGGCTCTCCACGTCCAACTTAAAAAGTCCTCCATCGCCAAGCGGGGGGAAAAAGGGAAAGCCTTCTTAATGCGGAAGGGAAATTTGGTGCCTGTGTCGCTTCCTTCCGGCGGGCACCGCAATTTGGAACGGCGCATTAGCCCGCGCCGCCCTGCTCCGGCGTCCGCCCGCCTTTTCGCTCGCACCCAGGAGCTGGCGGGGCTGGGTCGGCTCGCACCCAGGGAGCGGGCGGCCTGGCGCTTTCCGGGCCCCCGCTGCCAAAGCGCCTGTCTGCGCCCATTTTGCACGTCGTGGTGGTTTTCCTGATTCTGCGAGCGGGACCCAGAGACGTCGCGTTTTCCAGGGTTCGCAAGCCAGGGTCGCGCGGAGTTCCTAGTCCCTGCACGCCCCCAGAGCCGACAGCTGCACAGAACAGACGCCCAAGGGATGGAAAATGCATTCGTCTCCGCAGCGGTGGGAGGTGGCGGCCGAATTAAACGCTTTCCCGGGTGGCCTGCAACCCGCCGGCAGCCCTGAGTGGGGGGCTGGGGATATCCTGGAAGGGAGGTGGGAGCGCCTGAGAACGACAGTGGCACCTCGGTTCATGAACTTGTGTTTTGTCATGATTCTGGTCGCAAGCCGAATTGGAGGAAACTGAGTCAAATTCAATGGTTAGGTTGACTATCACCCAGACAGGAAAGGGTTGAGGGTTGTTTTTGGTTTTGTTTTTGTTTTCAGTATCTGGAAGCTGTCTTTCCCTTTCCCAAGAAAAAACTGAAGGAGGTTTTCCAAAGAATAGTTTTCTTGGGGACTGCTGTGTGGAGAGTAATCTACCCATTAATTTCAGAGTATAAAGTCACTAGCTCCCTGGAAACTGGCACACCTCAGGAGACTGGGTAGCTTCAAAACCCAGGTGCCAAGTCCCTCCCCACCTCCTCTTCGGTGGACTTCGTGGCTCTCCTTTCCAGAAGTGTAAGGCTTGAGAAGTCAAAAGGTGCCCTCCGACTGAAAGGAGGAACCCCGGTGGGGTCTCAGTCTAAGCCTTAGGGAGAGGTGTATCTGGACAAGAGTTCTGTTGACCAGGCTTGGTGCAGGAGCAGGAAGCTAGCAATTCCTGAAGGGAGTGCACGGGATTTCCCATAGCTACAAAAGTAAAATGAAGAGTTTTAGATTAGGTTTTCCTAGACAAACACAACCCCAGACCAGCGGCAATGGGAGAGCTTTTATTGAGTTCACCACTATAATATCTCCCTGGACCTTTTCCAGCATCGACTTCCTTAACTTTCAGAGGTGGAATTGGTGTTTTTAACCCAGTTGATGCTTCAGAGGTTGGGTAGTCTCCAAGTTCCTACCAGGTCTTGTGACAATTAAGTGGTAAACTTAAAAGCATGGGATCAGCAGGGAGGGTCGTGCTTCCACCGAGCTGCAGCCTCCCTACACACACACCTCTTGGGAGAAGGATCACAACCCCAGGCAGGCACCTGGTTTTATTGCCAAAGATTTGCTGCTTGCTTGGTTCGAGAGCTGGCTCTGAAGCCTAAGGGGTAGTTGCCAGGCCAGGAAGGAAAGGACCTAGATGGGGCCCAGGACAGGAGTTGCAAGTTTACCCTCCAGGTAATGGAGTGGTGGGGTGGAGGAGCGCTCCAGGGACTGGCCAGGAATTTCTGTGTTGCCTTCTTGGAAGGTTTACTGGAGGGGGACAGAGGCCGTTCTCGAAATTCTGACCCCTGGGTGCGGTACCAGCTGTACCCGGGGCATGCGGGGCCAAGGAAGCTATTGGAAGGAGGACCGAGGGCACCCAGGGAACGCAGGGCAGACGAGGGCAGTGAGGAGTTTGGGAGAAGCGACCCGTGGGGAGGCCGCACCGGGGCAGCGCCCCAGCCCTGGGCGCCCGAGTCTAACTTGCATTCTGCCCTTCTCTCCCCGCCGCCCGGCCGCCCGCCTGCGCAGGTGCCGCTGCCGGACGGGACTCTAAGATGAAGTTATGGGATGTCGTGGCTGTCTGCCTGGTGCTGCTCCACACCGCGTCCGCCTTCCCGCTGCCCGCCGGTAAGAGGCCTCCCGAGGCGCCCGCTGAAGACCGCTCCCTCGGCCGCCGCCGCGCGCCCCTGGCGCTGAGCAGTGACTGTAAGAACCGTTCCCTCCCCGCGGGGGCCTCTGGCGACCCCCGCACCCCACCTGCCGCACTCACGCCCCCCAAGCCAGCTCTCGAGGCTCAGAGCCTCCTCAAGTACTACTAACGTTCCCCTGGGGTGTGTGGCTTCCCAAAGGCCCAGGTACCTGGCGGATGAAGCAGTCTGCTTTGCCCAGCACCGAGGGTATTCTTGGGGACCGTTTATCATGCTGAGGAACAAAAACTCCTCCCACCACTGTCAGAGCGGCAACACACACGTCGCTTCCCTTTCTACCTTTCCTATCATATAGACACATTCTCTCTCTCTCTCTCTCTCTCTCTCTCTCTCTCTCTCTCTCTCTCTCAGCACTTTGTTTTGCTGGGCTGGATGTGCTTAATTCTCAGAACTATTGCACTTTTAAGAGACTGGCTTTTCACAAAGCCAAGCCAGGGACAGAGAAAACACAGAAGGGCCGAGGTTTTCACAGTATGTGTCTGGGTAGTGTCAAGTCCCGTTCAGAAAAGAGCCAGCTCTAGAAAGATGTAAAGGTAAATAGTGCAGGCTGGGATGGGGGAAGAACCTGTCGTCCCTAGCCACATATAGCAAATGCTAACTTTTAAGGGGGGAAAAAAAAAACTTGTCAGAAAACAAGTCAAAAAAAAAAAAAAAAAAACAAGTCAGTGATTTACGTCTCAAAAATGAAGACATTTTAGAAGCTAGTCACCTAGAGTGTGTCAAGTGACTTGATATAATTTGCCTCAAGATTTGAGCATAAAGTGAGGTGTGACAGATGGCAAGTTATATAGAGACTATGGGGGAAGTATGCAGGTAACTAATGTAGCAGTAGACCATTGGACACAACCCCAAAGTCAAGCAATAATGAGCTGGATGCCAGCTACCACACTGGCTTCACCCCGCCGCCAAATACTCTTCCAGCTACTTTGCTCTTGAAACACACTGCGCTTGTGCTGAGGACGGAGGCACGCCGGCACATTTCAGCCAAGTGCTCTGAATTCGCTAAGCATCATGGCCTTGGGCTAGGAAACCCAGGAGATGTCATGCAGTTATTTCTTTGCTTGGTTATAGCAGCAAAACTTCTTGCACGAATCCCAAGAAGGAAAAAGTGTGGTATTTTATAGGTAAAATAGGGCTTCGAGATTTGATTTAGGGTTAGAAAGAGAATGCGGTTGAAGTTCAGGTACCAGCTCCAAGAGTTGCCATCAATTAACTACATATGTCTATCTCTCAAGGCTTTCCTGTCAATCACCAATTTGGTGTACGTAATTGTTCTTCAGTAAAAATTAAGTTCACGATGCCCTTTGCACCATTTTCTTCAGACCAGTATGCAGTGGGAGTTAAGCAACTTATTTTTCCTTCAGTGGAACAGGCTAAGTCAGGAACAAAAACACAGTAGCAAGTTACTAACTTGGATGTTTAAGAGAGAAAAATATCTGTGCCCAATTATAAAACTGATTAATTATTTCATGGAGGTTTAGTTGCCATACTGGTATCTCATCTACCTAGCCTTATTAAATACTGGCTTCTGACTCTGATTGTACTTTCAGTTAACTCTGTGAACAAGTACTTACTTTAGAACCTGTGAAGAGTTTACAGTCTTACAATAAAAGGAGCTCCTTCTGCTCCAAAATGCCAATAGCTATGAAATTTACTCCTTGGCATTTTATCCTCCTATCCTAACTCTCCTTTAGGGGGAGATTCAGGAGCAGAGAATAGAATCATCCAGGGAACTTTAAAATTTGATGCTGGACCTCACCCCCAGAAGATTCTGGTAATTAGTTTGGGGCATGGCGTGGGCATCTGGACTTCTAAACATTCCCAAGTGGTCTACTACGCAGCCATGGTTGAATTGCTATAGCTTGTTAACACATGAGAGAGTCTATGATTCATAGAAGGTACAACCCACGTGGCCAGCAAGGTGGCATTGATCCTACTGATTGTCTGAGAGAGGGCATGACATATGGGAAAGGAGTGACTTCTCTTTGTCTCCCAAACTGATGATAAATCATCAGTAGACAAGATTCTGACTGTTCTGTTATATTTGAATCAGCACAACATACCCAGTTCTGTTTATCTATAGGAAGACTCAGTAGATCATAGAGGAAACCTGACAGCGAACTGTTCTCAAAGAGAAAGTGAGTTGTATCCTAAGCCAAATTGACTTCTTTCCAGGTATGTTCAATTTGGTAGCAAGCTGTCAGTGCAAGGAAGGCAAAATAGTGACAGTGTGCAGACTTTGAACTCTCAACCAGTGTCAACACGCCCCTGTCATCGTGCTGACATTTATATTCTGCATTATACACGGTGCAACTGGTAGGGTTTATGTAGAAAAACATTAAGTCACTGTATTTCATTTGAAAATAGAAAGTACCATAAATTCTGTCCCTCTATCTCCTTTCAGATGCTCATAACTTAGTAATTGAGCAAAATAACTTTTCATCATATTAACTAACTGCATACTTTGCAAGGGGAACTGAAGCTATACCCATTCTACACATTCACCCTCAAGAGTGCTTGTGTTCTGCTGGTTCCAGCACAAGTTGAAACATCCAGAATTCAATTTATACACAGTATGAACTGACAGTAATCGATCAACTGCCTTGCCTGGAGGTTGACTCTAAAGCAAACGATTCACAGCCATCTCCTGTACACTAGCTTGCAACTTGTCTAAGCTCAGGAACTTGTGATTTGCCTTCTGAAGCTTCCAAGATTTTCCCCTTAGCTACCTTTGTTCATTTGTGGGGTTTCCTTGTGCCAGAATCTTCTCCAGAGGGGAACAAGGCTAAGTGTGAGGAATATACAAGGTAAAACTCACCAATGTCGTAGCATGTAAAGCTATGACAAAACCTTTCGGTTTTGAAATCTAACAAGATAAAGCAGCTTGTTCAGAGTGCCAAGGATGTGATGGCAGGATGCAGCTGTGCTGAAACTGGAACCAGAGTTTCCCAGGCTGCTGAAATGCAATTTTTGTCCAAAATGAAAGCACTTTATTTAAGAGAAAGCTCTTCAACTAATTACTAAGACCTGTCACACTGTTGCCCTGAATTTATTGAAGGCTAATGCATTGTAATCTTGTTCCATATCTCAGCCCTAAATCCGTTTTATACCTAAAAGCATAAAACATGTGTAGTTTTGCAGTTATGCAACCTGAACACACATACCCATTCAGCAAATAGTTAACACATGCCTGTGTGTGACAGGCTCTGTCCTCGGTGCTAAGAGTACCCTGGTATACCTACTTGAAAAGTCTCTGCCTTGGTGGAACGTACTTCACAGTATGAACAGGTGTGATGGGTGTAAAAAACAACCATGAAGGGCCCTTGGGCTGACAGAGTGGGCTTAATATTTTATGTGCCTTGAAGCCAAATGGAAGAGACATTATTACATTGTGAAATTATAAATACAGATAATCCTCAATTGTAATCAAGTATATCCCACCAATTTGGTAGCAAGTCATGAAATTTCCTATAAAAACAATTCTTTTAAGCAAACTATCAAGTTCTTAGGCTAACAAATATCTAAGTAAACCATTATGTAAATGAAAAGTAACTGGCAAGGGACCAGGTGAGAGGCTTTGCCTTAGGTGCCACCTCCTATAATCTATAGAAGGAGAACATAGAACAAAATGTCAGGAGGCATCAAAGAAAGAGCACATATTCATTTATTCAGATCAAACCACAGCATGTATCTCAGCCTTCCATGTTCTTAACCTATTGAGTTTTAACATCTCTCCAACCTGTTTCCTCATCTGTATAATAGGGCTAATATTAAACCTGCCAAGCCGTTAAATGAGATATTGTTCTCTTATGCCTGTGTTCCACAACTAGGTATCATAGTTGTTATTTGCCAACCTCCTACTTCCCAAGAGCCCTCCCTAGGTGCCCAGTAAACTCCCTTCTGCCACAACTTATGCCAAGACTTTCAAGCAGCTCAGCATAGGATCAACAGCAGAAGTGCTGGCTTTGCAGGAGGCTGTTTGGACCCCACACGTGGTTGGTCAGGCTGGCCTCACCTGAGATTTGGCCCCCAGATCAGCTGCTCTTGGCCTTTCCCAACTTTCCCAGCCCCGCCCCCCAGTCACTGAGCTCATACATTTCCTGTGGAGCTTTTCCCAGCAGCCTTTCATGGTCTTATGAGGGAGACCTTCTTCTTCTGTAGGAAGAAAGGGGCCAGGCCAGGGTAGGATCCTCCTTAAAGTGATGAGGGTATGGATTGGAAGTTACCTGTATTGAGAGGGATGAGTTCTGTTTTAACTGATCCTAGTAGGACATTAAATTTAAAATATTTCATAAATCCAAAAAAAAGCCCTTTATAAACTTTAGTAAATACTCAATCCATTAGTATACACCTCACGAAGTTTCTAGAGTAAATATTAAGCTTTCAAATCTAATGTAAGATACAGAATTCTGAATAAATAGGTACTATCTACCCATTGCTTCATGACTTTATGGTGGAACAGATACTACTATAAAGTAACTTCATGAGCTGTCAAGGGGCTCTGCACTTGGAAAGGACCTTCTGGAATTAAAAACCTGCATGTCAGGCTCTTTTAGGAGGTACTCCTCCCTTACTTGAGATCCAACACCAGCATCTCCCTCTACCCTCTACCTGGAGATTTATTTCAAAACATTGCTGCTGAGATAAGTGTATTTAAGACTTACTTTGAACTGGCCAGTCTTCGGGTATTATGCTGGTCCAGTAGCCCAAACAATATATTCAAAAAAGTCTGTTTCTACAGATGGAAAGCCAAAAGGTGTCTGGTGTTTTGCCCTCCTGACCCTGCTTTGATCTTTTTATTTAGCACTCATGGCTGTCATTTAATGAGCATACCTATTAGTTAATCACTTGAGTTCAATCAAGAAATATTAAATGCTTTTCATTTGCTAGGTGCTGTGCAGCATTAAAAAGGCAGAGCTGTGAATTTAAGTTGTTTGTGAGCCAGTTAATTATAGACACACAGGTGGGTAGAGCGACAAAAGAGTGGGTGATGCCAGG